AATGGTTTCCATGGCAATATAGATGCCCTGGTAATTTCATGACCTTCAAGTCACGTCCTGGGTCTTCTCCTGGAGGCCTGTGCCGAGGCTTGGCTGCTCACCTGCCCAGGAGCCTCCGCAGTCACAGCCATGACCTCAGATCACTAACAGGGCCGTGGTGCATCCACCCCGCACTGAGTCACCTATGCCCCTCACGCCCCATCTCCTCTTGCTTCCCTCGGCTTCCCTTCCCCCTCCTGGATTACCCTCACAGCACAGCCAGGAGAATTCAGTGACTCAGCTGGGCCTCCCTTGAGAAAGGACTCTAGTTTATTTTAGAAAGTGGACCATTGTAAATAGTGCCAACATAGTCATGTCACGACTGTTTCTTATCTGACACTTCTTGAAAGAGTATATGGTATTCAAACACCTGAGACCATTTACACAAAGTCAAGTATGTGTTGTCCTCTGTCTCCCACATCTGGTCACACACTGTACATCCCCCTCAACAAGGGACCCTGATGTCAACAGTGAAGTCATTTCTGCGACATTCTTCTTACACCAAGGAGGCAGCCCAAGGACTCACACAGCTCCTAGGGGCTCAGCGGGGCCCTGGTGAGCTGCACCGGAGAGGGGCCCCCAAACCACCTCGGCCTCCTCAGTCCTTACCAGCCCTTGACTAGAAGTGATGTCTTATCACTGGAATATACAGATCTTGCTGGTCTGCTGCCTTCTAGCAGAGGACCTCAGCCCCTGAAAGCTCCCTCCCGACTGCTTCTGGGAGCCCTCATGGGCTGACGAGAGTTCTCAGGTAGGTCTGTACCGCCCTCACCCCACTGTCATTGGACCGGACACTCGCTGGTTCTGCCCAGGGCCCTGGCTGCTACTGCTCTGAGAGGTTCTGGGCCGCCTTGTGGGCGTGTCTTCATTTTTTTTTTTTTTTCCTCTCTGAAGGAAGAAGAGGAGGAGATATCACCCAAGTGTGAATTCTGCGGGAGCGACCTAAGAACATTTCTTTCCAGTGTGGATGTTTCCTCTGACTACAATAGCTCTGAACTAGTAGAACATGTAAGTTCTAAAGCAGGTTTACTGAGAAAACAGTGTCATTTTTAAACCCTGCTTTTAAATAGATGTGGTATTTTCTTTGCATCTTTCCCCATGTTGCCATCCTGAAAAGGGTTATGTGTTAGTGGTCAGGGGACTGCACAATGGTATCCCACTTCACACCCACTCGGATGGCTAGAACCAAAAAGACAGATAATAACAAGTGTTAGCAAGGACACAGAGAAACTGGAACCCTCATACACCGCTGAAGGGGAACAGAAAATGACGCAGCCGCTTTGGAAAACAGTCTGGCAGTTCCTTGAAAAGTTTAACACACAGTTACCATATAATGCAACAATAACAATAACCTAGGTATTATAAATACCCAAGAAAATTGACAACATATGTCCACACAGAAACTGGTACACAAATGTTCACAGCATGATTTATAACAGGCAAAAGGTGAAAACACCCAGATGTTCATCCACAGATAAATGGGAAGGGTCCACACAATGAACTATTACTCAGCCATAAAAAGGAATGAAGTGCTTATACATGCTACAGTATAAATGAAAACATTATGCTTGAAAACATTATGCTAAGTGAAAGAAGAACCACATGTCATATGATTCCATTTACATGAACTGTACAGAATAGTCGAATTTATAGAGACAGAAAGGAGGTGAGTGGTTGCCAGGGGCAGAGAGGAGAGGAAGACAGGGAGGAACTGTTAATGGATACAGGTTTCATGTTCTAAAATTGATTCTTGTGATGGTTGCACAATTCAGTGAATATACTAAAAACCATTGAATTGTACACTTTAAATGAATTGTATGGTATGTGAATTATATCTCAATAAAGCTGTTACCAAAAAATGTTACAATAGACTGTTATCTAAAACCCCATTAGCCAATTTTTGGTTTTTTTCCCTCCTGTAATTATCTTCATCCAGTACTGGTAAGATGAAAATGACCTCTTTGTTTTTCAGACCTCTTGTTGTAGTTATTTCCAAAATCTGATGGACTACATCTCAGAGGAAAAACAAAAAATCCAAACCTCTAAAGCTGAATTAATCTGTATTGACCCGCATGCCGCCCACGGCAGTGAAGTCGACAGACTCAAAGCAAAGGAAAAAGCTTTGTGGAGGTAATGCTGAGCCTTTGATATTGAACTCAGAGAGGCCCATTTAATTAAAGAGCTTTTTGTCCCACTTAATTAGAGAGCTTTTTGTAAAATGAACCTTGCTTTCTCAAAATAGATAAATTTTGAAGATGTGTTCCCAGTGAAGTAAGAATTGGTCAAAGCAAACCTGTTACAGTTTCTGGTGGATGTGATGAAAGTCAGAAGCTTTCAGAAACTCAGTGAACACACTGACTTACAGCAGAAATTTACCAATCCCAAATTCCCAGGGCAATTCAGAATTCCCACATTAGAGAAATCTGTCCACTAAACAGAGTAGAAAAATACGCACACTGATTAAATGACTGGATTTATAAGTAATAACATAAAAATAGTAAGAAATGGTATTTGAACAGTAAAAATTTATAGTATACTGTTTTAAGCTTCAAACACATTTCCGATTTATGCATATTTTTTGATTTTGTAGAAAACAGGAGCGACAAATGGCCAAACACCATGCAGTATTAAAACAACAGACTAGTTTCTCCGAAGAAGGTAAGTTCATTGACGCACATGTTATATACAGTTATACCTCAGAAAGCTCATATGCTTGATCAAGAGCTAAAACTGGCACATTTAAAAAACAATATTTAAAATTTCACTTCAGTCAATGCATTGGTTGAAATGGCTCAGAAAATCTGGCTGAAATTTTTAAGTGTTCAACTCACTGTCATTACTGATTGAAATAAATTAGCAACATTCATAGAGCCCTTCACAGACAGCTGTAAAGAGCTTCTGAGTTCACCGTCTCTTGTTTTATCCAGCACACACTCCATTTTTGTCTTCAAGCTGGGATGTGGAAAATCTGCCAAAAACAAATCAGATTCCTGTCTTACAGATGGCCCGGCCCTGTCAGTCGGCTGGCCAGTAAAGCCGTCATGCTGGTAGTATTGAAGGAGCCCCGATTTTAGCATCAGACGTTCTGGATTTATACTCCTGCTTTTCTCCTTAGAGGCTGCCCAATTATTTAATCTTTCTAAGCAGCGGGCTCCTCCTCTACCACTCAGAGCTATTGAAAAGATACTTAGAGAAGATAGATATATTGTGTGTGTGTATTTTTAAATTAAATCCCTAGTGTAGAGTTCCTTTGTATTCAACTGTTTCCTATGAAAACTAAGGCCAGAATGGAATGGAAATCATCATTTTTGTTCTGTCGGCAAAGGAATGTTCTCTTTTTTTAACAAAAGAGAGCCCTCAATTTAATTTAATGAAGGTTCTCATTTTTCTCCCATTAAAAAAATGTCAGATGAATCAATGCATTTGTAAGAGAGTTTGAAATTTCATTTTAGGAGAGTGGTTTTGGAAAATGTAAAACATATGTACTTTCATGTGATTCTTTTCCCATTAGATACAAAGCACTTTAAAACAATTTCTTATCAACTTTCCATGGATATTCCAGAAAAGGAGTCAGATGAGGAAGAACCATCTCATTTTCAACTAGACAAAAAAAATATATCCATTTTTTGTTGTGATTCTAGGATAGCATGTGGAAAGGTAATTAGCTTGTAATTTTTAATACGCTACTCTTCAAAAATCAGTTTGACCTAAACGTATAAAAGCTATCATGATGAGTAAGGCAGCTTGGCTACATGACACATTTAGCTATTTGTCAAAAAGAACTGGTACAGACTTGGCCTTTTAACTTCTACTATACTTTATAATAATGCTTTACATACATTTTATGAAGGTTTATTTTAGTTAAAGTTTTTTACTTAAAAATGTGATAGCTGTATAGTAAGGAAATTTGGAAGCCTTTAAAAACTAAAAAGAATGGGAGAAAATCACTAGAAGTCTCACCCACATCCCAAAAATCATTATTAATATTTATTAATATTTCAATATTACCTAGATCTGCACTGCCAAGTATGGTAGCAAATACTCCACATGGCTATCTAAATTTAAAATAATTAAAATTCAAATGTAATTCTTCAGTCACACTAGTCACATTTCAAATGCTTAACAGTTTGACTAATGGCAACCATATTGCAGGGCAGATATAGAAAAATGTTATGGTAATAAAAGTTCCATTAGAGAGCACTGTTCTAGAGTTTTTAAGCACAGGTTTTTGTTAACACACTTGGAATTATATTATATTTGTAATTTTTATCTCTTTTTAACTTAATTATCAAGAATTTTTCCATGATATAATATAGCTTACATTAACATCATTTTAGTATCTATGTGCTTTTTCATCTGGTTTATTTAACCATTCCACTGGTATTGGACATAAAGGTTATTAATCGTTTTGCTATGCTAACATTGCTTTGAATATCTTTGTGAATAAATTCATTTTTATGTAAGTATAGCTCCTCAGAATAGATCCCTAGAAATTAAGTTTCTGAGACCAGTTTTGTTTCTTTTGGGTGACAAAGAATTTAAGGGGTGACAGTGAACTGAGGTGACTGACAGAATCAAATCCAAATTCTGTCTGAAGGAAGGTCACTTATCCAAACCTCAAATTACTCCTACAAATTACCTTTCAAATTTAATTACCAGCACACAGTGAAAAATAATTAAAAACACAAGTAATCTCAACACCACAGCTGAAAACCCAGAGAATATGTATCTGATAAGAAAAGACCTACAAAGCCTTTAAAAACTGAAGTAATCTAACTCTATTTATGAAAGCAGAAGATTAGTTTAAAGATATATATGGAGGGAACAGAAACCCATAAAGTGACAAACAGGTTTGAAAAGAAAATGAACCTTACAGAAATGAAAAAGGCAACAACTGAAATTAAAAACTTAAAAGATGAGAGTTATATGCAGTTTAGACCCAACTAAAGAGAAAATTGATGACCTGGAAGAAAAGTTAAAAAAACAAACAAACAAAAAAGAACTATCAAAATTTACCATGGGGACAAAAAAAAGGTAAGGAATACATAAAAGTGTATATAATATGAAAATAGAATGAAGGGTCTAAAATGTATTTGTTCAAAATCCTAGAAGGAGAGGAAAAGATAATCAGGCAGAGGCAGTGTTTGAAGAGATAATGAATGATTATTTTCCAGAATTGATAAAAGAGACCAATTTACAGATTTAAGAATCTCCATGAATCCCAAGCAGGATGACTTAAAAAAAAATCTTAGACACATCATAGTGAGACTGCAAAACACCAAAGACAAAAAGAAAACCTAAAAATCAGCAGAGGGAAGAAAAAGGTTCTGTTTACATTTAAAAGAAAGCAGTTAGAAATCAGCCTCCCAACCGCAAGAATGAAGGTCAGAGGCAGCAGAATGTCTTCCATGTGCTGAAAGAAAATAACAATCTAGAAGGCTGTGCCTAGTTAAAGTATCTTTTAAGAAAATGTGCTCCAAATAGAAATGGTCTAGCAAAACAGTTTGTCGCTAGTAGCTTCTCACTAAAGGAAATTCTAAAGAATGTTCTTTGTGTAGTTGGATGGTCTGAGATTCAAGAAAGATGAAGAGTAAAGAAAGTGTTTATGGAATATATGGATAAAACTAACAGCTGGCTAATAATAATAATAATAACAACAATAACAACAATAATAATAATAATGGCTCATGGAGTTTCAAAAAACAGTATAGAATAAAAATGCATGAAAAAATAGTACGTGATTTGGGAAGACGGCTAAATGCAGAAGCCTTTGGTTTAGGAGAAGGGCAAATACATAGCTTAACTTTCAGACTTTGATAAGTTAAGATTGCTTGATAAAATTTTTAGGGTAGCCAGAAAAATAACAGAAGCAAAGAGTATAACTTCCAAGCTATCGGAGGTAGAGCAAAAAATAGAATAACTTATTTTAAATACCCCTCAAGAAACAAGAAAGGAAACGGAAAAGGAAAAACACATAACAGGGGACAAACAGAAAACATCAAGGAATGTCAGTAGTTATATGTAAGTAAGTACTTCAGTTAAAAAACAAAGAATGTCAGACAATTTATATAAGGAAAAATTCCAATCATATACTGTTTACGAGAGACATAGCTAAAATAAATATAAGATACAAAAAGATTAAATATAAATAAACAAAAATGATGTAGCATAAAAATACCAAGAGTAACACTAGAGGTAGAAGACCACTTCATAGTGACAGAAGTTTTAATCCACCAGGAAAGTATAATGTTACAAAATATTTTCCCATATTAACCTAGCCTCAAGATATGAAAGAAAATTTCACAGAAGTAAAAGGAAAAAAATTTAATCCATAATCATAATGGGATACTTGATAATTGAGAGGACTATTAGACTGAGGGGGAAAAGCAGTAATACAATAGAATATTTGAACAACCCATTTCACAAATTTGACCTAATGTTCATGGATTGGAAGATTAAATATTTGAAGGATGGCATTCTTCCCAAATTGATCTATACATCCGATGCAACTGCAATTCAAATTCTAACAAGATTTGTGTTTTCGGGGAAGGGAGGTCTTGACAAGTTGATGCTGGGATTTACATGGAAATATAAAGAACCTAGAATAGCCAAGACTTTCTTGAAGAAGGCGGCTGGGAGGGAGGGGAACATGTTCTATCAGATACTAAGATCTATTACAAAATATAGCAATTAAGACAGTGTAGTGTGGGGCAGAATAAATACAGAAACTCATGATCCAGACTAAAGAGTTCAGAATCAGACTCATGCACACACAGACACCTGTTTATGACAGCAGTGGCACTGCACAGTGATGGTGAAAGGAAAACCTTTTCAGTATGGAGTGCTGGGACAATTGAATATCCATATTTTTAATGAAATTGGAACCATATCTTACACCATATAAAAATCAGTTCTAATGGATTAAAGACCTAAATGGGAAATGCAAAACTAAAAAGATTATTTTTATATAGGAGAATAGCTTTATTACTTCAGGTTAGGGAAAGATTTACTAACCAATTCAATAAAGCAGCATCCATAAAGGATTTGATAAATTGCAATTAAAATTTGAAAGACAAGCCAAGACACTTTGCAGCACATATGATATACAAAGGGCTTTTATCCTAGATGTATAAAGAATTTTTATAAATCAACACAAAAAAAGTCTACTTAATAGAAAAATTGGCTAAGAAAAAAAAAGCAAAAAACTTGACCAATTCTCAAAGGAGAAAATTCAAATGGTCAGTGAACACAGGAAAAGGTGCTCAACCCCATTAGTAACCTGGGAGAGAAAGGAAAGTTGAAACTACAATTACAGATCACTATGTATCTACACTGTTGGCAAAAAAAAAAAAAAAAGGTAAAGTCTGACAGTATCACGTGTTGGAAAGGATACAGAACAACCCTCACTATTATTTGCTTCTAGTGGGAATACAAGTTGGTACAACTTGGAGATCATATCTACTCAAGTGGAACACAGGTACATCTTGGGATTCGGCAGTTCTACCTCTGGGTCCAGCACACATGCATAAGAATATTCAGAGTCTCATTGCTTGTAAGCCAAAACCAGGGAACAACTCAAATATCCACTCACAATAGAATGGGTCATTAGATAGTGATGAAGTAATGTAACAGAATGCTATACACAAGTAGAAGTTACTGCACTACAGCTACACCGGGACATGTATGAATCTTACAAACATAATGTTGACAAAAAGAAAATTTTTAAAATTCACAATGTATGATTCTATTTACATAAAATTCAAAATGGAAAAAATTAAACTATTGTTTAGAGATTACAAAAGTGAAAACAACTACTATGGAATCAGACTAGTGCTTACGTCCAGGAAGGAAGAACGCTGACTTTGGGATAGACACCGGGGGCACTTCTGGAGAATCAGCACTGCTCTGTTTTTTGACCCAGATAGTGATAACTTGGGTGATCACTTCATAATTACTCATTAACAAAATAGCATATTTTAGCATTGATCTGAATGTGTGTCATATTACATAAAAGTGAAAAATGTATTATCTTTCAAAATAAATGGCAACATTTGCGTGAAAATTTAAATTGTTTAATGCATTGTTTAGCCCTAGGAATTCTTGTATCTGTTTTATTACAATTTAAAATTAGGAATAAATAGAACTAAACTGAATCTTTAGTTTATTATAAAACATTGTTGAGTACAAATCCATTTCCATATTGAGTATTTTACACAGAAAATAGTTAAACTTGGAGATATAATAAGGAACATCTCTTTGTATTCCTTTTGTAATCTTCCCAGACTCCACTAGTGTTTTGCTCAAATGAATTTCAAGAGGAGCCTTGAACATACCAGATGCTGCGGCTTATTCTGGAGTATACAGTTTATTGAAGTATAATTTACAGTAATGCTCACATTTTTAGATGTACAGCTCTATGAATTTTGACAGTTATGTAATCACCACTACAATCAGGATATAGAATATTTACATTGTGCCACAGCTGGATTTTTTCAATCTCTTTTGTTTTTATAGTAATATGTGGATAAGGTAAAAGTAAATAAATAAAAAATAAACAATTTTAAAATGAGCAGAAGACTTGAATAGACATTTTTTCAAAGACATACAGATGGCCAATAGGCACATGAAAAGATGCTCAACATTGCTAATCATCAGGAAAATGCAAATTAAAATCACAGTAAGATATCACCTCACACCTGTCAAAATGGCTATCATCAAAAAGAACACAAATAACAAATGTTGGTGAGGATGTGGAGAAAAGGGAACCCTTGTACACTGCTGGTGGGAATGTAAAATGGTGCAGCCACTGTGGAAAATAGTATGGAGGTTTCTAAAAAAACTAAAAATGGAACTACCATGTGACCTAGCAATTCCACTCCTGGGTATATATCTGAAAAAAATGAAAACACTAATTTAAAAAGATAGATGCACCCCAATGTTCACAGCAGCATTATTTACACTTGCCAAGGTGTGGAAGCAACCTAACTGTCCATCAACAGATGAATGGATAAAGAAGATGTAATACACACACACACACACACACACACACACACACACACACACACACACACCAGAATACTACTGAGCCATAAAAAAGAATGAAATGTTGCCATCTGCAATAAGATGGATGGTCCTTGAGGACATTATACTAAGCAAAATTAGTCAGACAGAGAAAGACAAATACTGTATGATATCACTTACATGTAAAATCTAAAAGATAAACTAGTAAATATAACAAAAAAAGAAACAGATTGATAGACATAGAGAACAAACTAGTGGTTTCCAGTGGGGGGAGGGTGGGGGAGGGGCAAGGTAAGAGGAGGGGATTAAGAAGTACAGACTACTATGTGTGATTAAAGATTATAAAATCACTATGTTGTTCACCTAAAACTTATATAATATTGTAATAACAACTATACCTTAATTTTAAAAAGAAAATACCTCGCATATGATCAGCTCTTTTTAAGTGTTTGCTATGATGATGATGATTTAAAATATAATCCTGACTGAAGCCTAATTATTGTCATCTATCTTGCCTATTGAGTTAAAAAAAATTTTGCTTCAATAAAAACAAAAAACAAAAACCCTTCCAACAGATATGTAACATCAGACACCTGCCAGAAGGGTTTTATCAAGTTTTCTGCAGGGGTTAGGGACAATCTTCAATGATTCCTAAAGACTGTTCCCTGTTGCTGATACAGAACCAAACATTTAAATTAAGAAATGGTTTGCATTGCTGTCAAGCAAGCGGAGGATGTCTGTTATTGTCACACTCTATGTGTTGTACCTGAAACAGTTAAGTGTCCCTTTATTTTCCGTGGTGTACAGATCGTGAGGAATGAGCTCTTCGAGAAGCACTATAAACACGGAAGCAAGTTTCTGACTTCATTTCCAGATGGCACAATGCAAATATTGTATCCTTTCTTTCAACAAGTTATTTGCACTAGCTTTATTTCTTCACAAAAAGAAAAAGACAAAAAATAGATAGAAAAATATAAAGAAAAAAACAGATATTACCCCCAAATCCTACCACCCAGAGGAAAGCTGTTAACATTTTATACATCTTTCTTTACTTTTTCCTATAAGCAATTATATAGTTCTTTAAAATTAATTTTTCAACAAGTTTTTCATATTTTGTAACTTGCCCTTTTACATAATATTATATATTATACAGTAAATACAATAAATAATAAAGTTATGAGTATTAATATGCAATAAATATAGAGATACACCACCATTTTTATAACCACAAGGTATTCCATCATAGGGAGGTACTATAATTGATTTAACCTACCCCCTAATACAGGTCAAAGGTGGTTTCACAATTTGGGGCTGTTATATATAACAGGTAAATAAATGAACAGCTTTGTGCATATATTTCCTTGAATTGGATACATAGGAATAGAAATTCTATGTAAGAAATTATGGACATTTTAAAGTTTTAATAGATTTTGCCCCTCAGAAAATGTGTACCAGTTTACACATCCATGAGCAGCATGGTATTTTTTAATGCAAAAATTCAATATCCATTTTGTGGAACACTAAGCTATTGATCAGTTGAACTTCTGCCTGATGGCCGGGCCATTTGCTATTTCAACATAAAGAACATTTAATATCTCCAGGAAAGTAAAACAAAACAAAATAATGAAATGAGGAGGACTTTTTTGGTGAACTAAGGGCCTCACTTTTTAAGAGAAAGTCACTTTTAGTCATAGCTGCCTGGATGTTTAGTCAAACCCCAGTAATAAGCTGTAAAAATAACTTTATTAGTTGTCATTTTCTGCCCTGGCTTTAATTCTTTTTCACTCCCTTGAAGGCTATGGCTGATTTTCAAAATGATTCAGAATCAATGTTGTTTACTTCAGCTCTGGATCAGCTTAGACAGAACTGAATATTAACAATCAGTGAATTATTCTCAGCATATTTTATTCTTTTTGATGCTATTGTAAATCAAATTATTTTCTTAATTTCATTTTCAAAATTTTCACTGCTAGTGTAAAGAAATATAATTTATTTTTACATATTGATCTTTTAGCCTGTTAGACTTGTTTGTTAGTTCTAATACATTGTTTTGTGGATTCCTCAGGATTTTCTAAATACAAGAGCATGTCATCTGCAAGTAGAGATAGTTTTACTTCTTCCATTTCCAATCTGGATGCCTTCATTTCTTTTTCTTTTATAAAAATTTCCTGACTGGAACATCCAGTACAATGTTGAATGGAAGAAGGGAGATGGGACATTTTTGTTTAGTTCCTGATCTTAGGGAGAAAACATCTAGTCTTTCATCATTAAGTATGAAGTATACTAAGTATGATGTTGGCTGTGGATTTTTGTTCTTTTCAGGTTGAAGAGGTTCCCTTCTATTCCTAGTTCATTGAGTCATTTATCATGAAAAGGTTTTGTCAAATGCTTTTTCTGTGTTTATTGAGATGATCATCTATTTTTTGCTTCTTATTCTATTAACATAGTACATTTCGTTCATTTTTAGACAGCTTTATCATCTCAAAGGGCTCTCTCATAAATTCAGTTTCTTCCCAGAATAGTCAAAGACCATTAGAATAACCCAAATGACCTTATCTAATCTCAGCTACCCATCTGGGAACCTAGCCATCATCCGAGTGCCCAACAAGACAAATGGCTTCACTTGTATAGTCCAAGATGACATATCCACTAACCCTGCAATCCTGGCAGTGCTAGATTCTTCTGGCAGAAGTTCCTGCTATCATTCCAATGGAAATGTCTGGTAGGCTTCTAAGTTCCTCCTGCTGCCATTTTTCTTGGATTTTGTGAAATGTTATTTTTCCCTTTTATTTTTTTCAACTTTATTGAGATATAATTGGCATATAACATGTAAGTTCAAAGTGTGCAACATGTTGATTTGATACACATATATAGTGCAAAATGATTACCACCAAAGCATAAATAGCTAACACCTGTATCATGTCACATAATTACCATTTATTTTTGTGTCAAGAACATTTAAGATACATGCATCCCAATATTCATAGCAGCACTATTAATAACAGGCAAGATATGGAAGCAATCTAAATGTCCATCAACAGATGACTGGATAAAGAAGTTGTGGCATATATATGTGTGTGTGTGTATATATATGTATATATATATACACATATATATGATGAAATACTACAGAGCCATAATATGGAATGAAATCATGCCATTTGCAGCAACATGGATGGACCAAGAGATTATCATACTTGGTGAAGTAAGTCAGGAAAAGACAAATATCATATGATACCACTTATATGTTAAATCTTAAAAATGACACAATTGAACTTATTTACAAAACAGAAATAGACTCATAGATATAGAAAACCAACTTATAGTTACCAAAGGTGGAAGCAGGGGAAGGGATAAATTAGGAGTC